CCCCAAAACCCCAAAACCCCAAAACCCCAAAACCCCAAAACCCCAAAACCCCGAAAATATTTTAATTGAAAGAAGTTTTATACTAATTCTTATAAAAACTATGAATACATCACCCATAATGCAATTCAAGACCTCTCTAGCTAAGAGAAAGAATTCAAAGATTGTCAGGAAGGCAGTCAAGGAGTACCTCATCAAAGGTAAGGAATATAAATAGATTGGTCGTACTTTTCTATAGATAATACTTCGAGAGTGAAAAATCTCTTGCAGCTGCTTGATAGAACAAAAAGCGCTCGCCACCAGCTTGATATCATCCAAGCGATGCGGAAAGGTACCAAAGGTCATTCAGGTTATAATGATATCAGTCAAAGTTATTTGTAAGCAATAGGTTTTTACAACCCAAGGGTTGTAAATTTCTCACTCATCTATACATCTATTAAACTGTATAATAGCGATACCTATAAAGCATCTCAGAGTTTGAACAGAGAGAAATGTCAGATAAATTTGAAAAGCAAGAAGTTTGTCTTCTCCAAACCAAATTCCATGTGTAAAACTACCCTTCTGCAAGAATAACATAAGGTTTAGCAAATTAAGAAGATTTACCAAAAAGTGATAGAGACCAGGGCCAGGCATAACAGGTCTTTGTCCATGCTCAAAAACCAGAGGAAGGAAATATCCCTCTTTGAGAACACCTATAATTCTTCAAAGAGTAAAGGTCGCCTTTAATATCATAGAGAAGTTCGAAATTGTAGCGATGCCATTTAAAGTTTCTATAAAAAGGAAGAATAAAGTTGATGCCTTTTGTCAATCCACTGATCAGTTGGAAAATAACCGGCCTTCTCATCGGATGGCAAAGTCTGAATACTTCATTAATCCTAATCTTAAACCAACAGAGAAGGATAAATTTATCTTGTCTTCGGTTCTTAAACAAAGACCTGTATTCCAAAATGAGAAGATTAAATCAGAGAGTCCTAGTAGACCTGAGATTTTTATCAGAGGGACATCTACACCTCGAGGAATATTCCAGACTGCTCAAAAGGCCAAGACCTCAAGTATGTATCGGTAGGGCCCACTATTTTGCCAGAAAATAAGTGTGCTTGGTTCGCGGTTAGATTCCTTAGAATTCGAGGATATTTCTCACAATACATAGTAACTCTAGATAATTAGAATATCTCTGGTTTATATCTCCTCAAGCGTATACTCTCTAGAGCATTCGCAGTATCTGACCTTTGGTGTAGATTCAAGTTGAAGAGTAAGGAAAACTATCCTGATAAATCCTGCAAAACGCTTGGCCTTCATAAATTCCATCCAAGACTTTAGCCCTTGATAATAACACATTTCAATATTTTCAGCATGAAGGGGTTTTGGGGTTTTGGGGTTTTGGGGTTTTGGGGTTTTGGGGTTTTGGGG